AATATTCGAAAACTTGATAATTTAACACTACAATCATTATAACAATTAAAATGACAATTATTCCTCCATTACTCATACCATCTATCTTTCAACCCCTTATCCAAGCGTGGGTAGCTTGGTTTACTGTAACATTTTTTTCGTTACCAATTGCCACCTTTTTTATATGTTGGGATGTTCCAAGGTGTATATATGGTCTTTTATTCCGGAAAAGACCAAGAGTTATTTTAATTACTGGTGCTGAGTACGTTTTTTTTTTTTTTAGATATATAGTCTTTTTGGTTTTATATTTCAAAATTACTTAATTACTTGATGCAGCACCAGTATAGGAGAAATGTTTGCTCTTGAATATGCTCAACCAGGCAACACATTGGGTCTGATATCAAATGATAAATGTATGTTTATAAATCTTTTTTAATGAATAGGTTAATGGATGTGTGAGTGTGAATGGGTATGTGAATGTATGAGAGAATAAATGAAAGCAGAATTCATAGTTTATATATTGATTGCGTGATTTTTTGCAGATAAATTAAACCGACTTGCTGACGAGTGTAATAAAAGGGGCGCAGAAGCATTGAGATTACATTGCGATATTTCCAATTTGGAGTTGTTAAGAGACACAGTTGAAGGATTTCTTAATGAACGCCCAATAGATTTATTAATTGCTAATCCTTGTACGTAGGTATTAATCTGTTTAAGAGTCCTTTTCTACTTGCCTAATTGTTTTTTGTACACTTTTTAGCCCAAAATAACATCATTAAAGATGCTGAAACTCGTTGGGAAGACCTGTTTGAACAAATAACTGTTACAAACATTACTGGAATTATTGGTATTATTATGTCCACGTACAAGAGAATGCAAGATTTAGGCAAAGGTCAAATTGCGAGTAAGTTCACTACGCTTAACATTAATGTCATATATCTAAAACTATTTATATTTGCTAAAATTACCTGTAATTTAAAAAAATATATATATATTTTTTTTGAAAAAAAGTAATTAATACTACAGTTGGTCATCTACCAATTCCACAATTGATATATCACAATATGATAAAGTCTGCCCTTCTTTCATTCTCTCGTGATTTTCGGTACCTGGCAAAAAAACATAATGTTAATGTTTCTATTATTTCACCGGGATTAATCGATACGCAAATGACAACTAAAGCATTGTCGCCTATTTCTAATTTTCGATTCCTTTTTACATCTGCACATAGCCTTGCTTTTATTTCAAAAATACAACTTCAACAAGGCAATTTTGAAATTGTTTGGCCTTTTTTAGAAACTTTACCTTCTTACTCTTATAACATTCTCCCACCAAGAATTATTAATACTGTTACTTATTTTATTGGTTTGATTGGTGACTTCCTTGCTAGAACCAACGGAGTTGCTTGGATTTAAATGATATGTACAGTAAATGTAGAATTTTAAAAAATAAATATTACAAAAAATTTTCTTGTATGATCATTTGTATTAACTACAAAATATCAATATGCTTTTATTTTAGACATGACCTGACAATGCTATTATTAAAATCGAACCTTTTTTTTCAATAATTTAATGTAACAAAATGGCCACTATAGCCAATTAACCAATCGACTATAATCATTTTATTAGAGTTCATTATACAAAATTTGCTATAAATTTTGCAATTTATGCTCTGAATTATGCAAATTTTGTCTAATATGCAAATATGCTCTCGCATATGCTATGCGGTAAACATCAAAGATGTATATATTATTCAATCGTATATTTGCATTTTTATATAGCCATACACTTAGTCTAGTACATTTAATTCACATATTCAAGACAAATATTATGCCATAAATCATATCTAAATAATCAGAAACAAGTCTATTATCTTTATGTTGAATTATATATTTAATTTTTGACCTGTATGAGAGTCGCTATTGTGCAATTTTGCATAATGCTGTAACACGTACGTACGTACCAGAAATTTTATCATTATACTTACCCGGAGTTTTTTTATGCTGTAGTACAAATACACAAATTACGTACGTACGTACGTACATATTAGATATATATTTGGTTGATTATAATTAAGCATTCTGTAATAACTCATTCTTTAAAAGCAAATGAAAAGAATTTATAATCTATTTCGTCATAAAACATCATCTAAAAAAGATGACTCTAATGAAATAAATAATCTTGGGAACAAATACCGACAAGGAATAGGAGTTGAAAAGGATGAACATAAAGCGTTCATTCATTTTCAAAAATCTGCTGAAATGGGGAATGCTGGTGCAATATACAACCTCGGATATTGTTATCGACATGGAGTAGGGGTTGAAAAGGATGAACATATAGCATTTATTCATTATCAAAAATCTGCAGAGATGGGAAATTCCTCTGCAATACATCAAATTGGATATTGTTATCACTATGGAATAGGGTTGAAAAGGATGTGTATAAAGCATTCGTTCATTATCAAAAATCTGCTGAAATGGGAAATGCTGATGCAATATACAACCTCGGATATTGTTATCACTATGGAATAGGGGTTGAAAAGGATGAGCATAAAGCATTCGTTCATTTTCAAAAATCTGCAGAGATGGGAAATGCTAATGCAATTAATTTTGTTGGAGTCTGTTATTGCTATGGAATAGGAATTGAAAAGGATGAATATAAAGCATTTATTCATTCTCAAAAATCTGCAGAAATGGGAAATGCTGCTGCTACACTTCGAATTGGATTTTATTATCGAAATGGAATAGGAGTTAAAAAGGATGAATATAAAGCGTTTATTCATTATCAAAAATCTGCTGAGATGGGATATGCTGCTGCAATATGTAACCTTGGATATTATTATCACTATGGAAGAGGGGTTGAAAAGGATGAACATAAAGCGTTCATTCATTATCAAAAATCTGCGGAGTTGGGAGATGCAAATGCAATGAATCAAACCGGATTTTGCTATAGAAATGGGATAGGAATATCAAGAGATTTACAAAAGGCTGAGTATTGGTTTCAAATGTAAATAATTTATTTATTCATTTTTCTTAAATAATTATGTATGGTCTTTTTAACATGTATATTTTTTGATCATAGGGGAAAAAATAAAATGTCAGGTAATTTGTAATCATAATCCCCGTGATCTTGATATTAGTAATTTACGATTTATTCATTGATATTTTGCAGCCACCAATGAATGGTTACATGAAAATTTTGACATTGATGATGATATAAAAAAGCTATTAGCTGAAGAAAAATATCCATTATTATGGATTTCTTACAAAGAATTTGGAAATATTAAAGAGATAGGGCAAGGTGGATTTGCAACAGTATATTATGCTATGTGGCTAAGAAAAAGGCAAGATGGTATTACATACGAAGGTGCTGCACTTAAATTACTTCACGGATCAAAAAGTTGCAGTGAAGGATTCATTAAAGAGGTGATTTTAATTTCTTATTATTGTTTAATAATTTAAGATTTTACGTAATAATCTACTACTCAATATTAAAGTTAAAGGCATATTGCGATATTGGCTCTAAAAATCCATCATTTCTAAAATGCTATGGAATATCAAAAGATGATAATTCTGGAGATTATATTATTGTTTTAGAATATGCAACAATGGGTTCTTTACGTCAAAATCTTAAATCGATAGCAAAAATTAAGTGGGAAGATAAATTAACATTATTGCATTGTATTGCTTCTGACCTTCAAATAATTCATTCTCATGGACTTGTTCATCGAGATTTACATAGTGGAAATATTTTACAAGATAATTTACGTAGTGCATATATCGCAGATCTGGGATTTTCAACATCATTAAAGGCAGAAAAATGTGGAATTTATGGAATTTTACCTTATATTGCGCCGGAGGCTTTAAGTGAAGGACAATATACAATGGCATCAGATATTTATTCATTTGGAATAATTATGTGGGAAATTTTATATGGAAAACCTGTATTTTACGATCAAGACTTTGGAACACAACTTCAAACACAAATATGCCGTAATAACTTAAGACCAACTAATATTGAAGGTTCTCCACAATGCTATATAAATTTAATGAAGAAATGCTGGGAAGGAGAACCAAAAAACCGGCCATCAGCTATAGAAATCTGTGCAATTATTACCAAGTGGCAAAATGATGAGAATATTTTATTTGAATTAGATAAATCTAATAATATATTAAATACTAAAAACATACATGCGCAAGCATATTCGAAAGTCGTTTATAAAAGCAACTTTATTAATTATACTGCATCATTTTATCAAGGTAACTAAATTTTTTTTTTCATAAATGCATATTTTTAGAAAATTAATTTTAATTATTTATTTTAGATAGTACGATAGATGAGTTGAAGATTGAATAACTTATATGATAGTTTTATATCAGTCTAGTTAATTTAACAAGAAATAGTTGTATTTATAGATAATAAATTATACAGTGGCTCTCGATATAACGGAGGCCATGGTTCCGGTCCTTTGCTCCGTTATATCAAAAGCACTGTAATATCAAATCTTATAATTTATCAGGTATTATAGTAATCATAATTTTATTCCGTTATAATTCTCCATATTAAGCAATATCCGTTACGTATATCGATGGTCCGTTATATTGAGAGCCACTGTGTATGGTGTTTATCGGTGACAATAATATAAATTTGTGATTTATGTTTTCAATATTTGTAAAATATTCAGTATTTTAATAAAATCGTAATTTATTTGTTTTTATTTATATTAAACTAGAGGATGCAGATGTGGGCGGCTTCGCCGCCCGGTTGAGGCTGTTATATGTTATTTTTTAAAAGAAACAATGC